CACAAGGGTCCTTATAAAAGGTGGCAGGAGATTGGAGTGGGCAGCAGAAGGTGTGACAATGGAAGCAGAGGCTGCAGTGAGGCAAGGAGGGGGCTGTGAGCCAAGGAATGCAGGTGGCCTCTAGAAGCTGGAAATAGCAAGGAAACAGATTCTTCCCTCAGAGCCTCCAAAAGGAACCACCCCTGCTAGCTAACACCTTGACTTTAGCCTAGTGAGACTCATTTTAGACTTCTGACTTCCAGAACTATAAGATAATAAATTTGTGTTGTTTTTTTTTTTTTTTTTGAGACAAGAGTCTCACTGTGTTGCCCGGGCTAGAGTGCTGTGGCGTCAGCCTAGCTCACAGCAACCTCAAACTCCTGGGCTCAAGCGATCCTTCTGCCTCAGCCTCCCGAGTAGCTGGGACTACAGGCATGCACCACCATGCCTGGCTGATTTTTTTTCTATGTATTTTTAGTTGTCCGATTAATTTCTTTCTATTTTTAGTAGAGACGGGGTCTCACTCTTGCTCAGGCTGGTTTCGAACTCCTGAGCTCAAACAATCCGCCCGCCTCGTTCTCCCAGAGAGCTAGGATTACAGGCGTGCGCCACTGCGCCCGGCCTTGTGTTGTTTTTATGTCGCTAAGTTTGTGGTCATCTGTGACAGCAGCAATAGGAAACTAATACAGTTATCTTGCAGCTGTTCTGTCCATGCAAGTTGTTCTCTTTTCCCCAAGCTCAAGAATCACCTAGGTGGGTGGGAATGTGTAGGTTGACAAAGCTGTGTGGACAAGGGGCTGAGAGTGCTTTGGAGCCTCTTCTGGCCTTGGGGATCTGAGAGATGCCAACCCTCATCTTGGCCTATCCTGTGCTTCGGTGTGTTCTGAGAAAGGCCCTCCTTTCACAGGGGTGGGCAGGACAGCTGGGAGCCCCAGGCTGGCCAAGGGGTGACGTGGGCTCCTCTCTCTCCAGGAGCCTGGGCTGCACTGTGGTGGAGATGCTGACAGAGAAACCACCTTGGGCAGAGTATGAAGCTATGGCCGCCATTTTCAAGATCGCCACCCAGCCCACCAATCCTCAGCTGCCTTCCCACATCTCTGAGCACGGCCGGGACTTCCTGAGGCGCATTTTTGTGGAGGCTCGCCAGAGACCTTCAGCTGAGGAGCTGCTCACACACCACTTTGCACAGCTCGTGTACTGAGCTCTCAAGTCCATGCGGTTGCTGGCCGCCCTTACCACACGAGCAAGGGGCTGCTGCGGGCTCAGCGAAGTTGCTGCTTCTCCAGGCGAGGCTGTGGACCACGGAGCTGAGCTGCAGCCCAGCCAGCGTTTGTCTGCGCCCCTTCTGCCACTGGGGCTCAGAGCTAGGGTGGGGTGGCTACAGCCTCGAAGACTGAGAGTCCCCAGCCTGCCAGACCCAAGAGCTCCCAGTGTCCTGAGAGGGCCGGGGACAGTATGCTAGGCGGCCATGTGGGCCCCACCCTCGGGCTATATCCTGACGCTGCAAAATCTGCACCAAAGCCCAGAGGGTCTGGGGGCACAGGACTGATGCCAGGGTATGAATAGTGTTATTTTCATTCAGAGTGTTATTTGGTTTCTCCTCCCAATGTCTGGAGACCACCAGGATGTCTTGGGGCTGGAGGAGCCCACTCAAGCCTGAGGTAAAGCCCAGCATCCCCCAAGGAACGGCAGGCAGAGGCCCAGGCTGCCCTCCCTAGAGCCCCGGTCAGCTTTGCCAGTCCTATCCTTTACCAAAGATGAATGGAGCAGATGTCATGCTGCCTTATTCAGGGAAGGAGGAGCCTGTCCTGCCTGTCCCCGTGACCCTGCTCCATAAGCAGGGGCCTGAGATGTGGAACTGCCCCCACTGAGCGGGGGAGACCCAATTTTGTCAATGCAATTGTCTCTGTTTTACAAGTTGGAGTCACTCTTATGCTGTATCCAGTTTCTAAACTGGAAACTTTGTGCCCTCTGGGCTCTGAGGACCCCTGCTGTGGGCTTGGGCCTGGGCTGGACTGGGAAGAGCTGAGGGTAATGGCTTTTGTGCTCCGCCCGGCATCAGTTCCCCCACTGGAGTGGAAGGGAAGATGGACAACACAGTGAGGGCATCTGGCCTGGCTGGTGCCTTGAGCCCAGAGAGTCTGGGGAGGTGTCTCAGGCTGCCTGAGTTGTGACCTGCCAGGCCAGAGCCCCCTCTGTCTGGTAGAAGGGAAAGCCCATGTGCTGCCACCAACTGTCCGAAACCGCCAGCTTTGTTCTTCCTTAGCCAGCCTTGCCCACCCCCAGGAGGTCTCAGCCCCTTTCTCTTGCTCCTCCCCTGGGGGAGGAGTGGCAGCAGGGGTCTGGGAAACAGCATCTCCAAGCAGCTTAGAGTTGGCCATATTTACCTCAGCCTGGGTGCTGGTCCTTTCTTCCGGCCCCTCCCCTCCAAAATGTGCCTATTGCTCGAGCTCCTCCCTCTCAACACCCAGTTTCCTTGGGAGTTGTCATTAAAGGAAAAAAAAAAAAAAAAGCCAGTGCCCAGGGATGGGTGTCTCCAGGAGCTGGGGGTGAGCGGCAGGCAGCCCTGCCAGCGTGCCTGCGTCCCCACGGGCACAGAACAAGCCAAAGCCTTCGTTGTATGTTGACGATGCACTTTTATGAATGTAGTTTCTATCGCTGTTTTTAGCCTTTTCACATCATGTAATGTGAGGCCTTGTTAATTTATATCTCAGATCATATTTGATGGTTTTTATATATATCAATTCTAGATTGTTACATGTGGTGGACGCCTCAAGAGAGAGAAGAGAAAATGAAAGCAGCTGGTTTTGCAGAAATGTGTGCTGCATGGTGCCAGTTGGGCCTGGGCCCCTCTGTTTCCATCTGTTTCTCCCCAAGGCCCCTGTCAGGCCCCCTCCACTCCACACTGCCCTCTGAAGACAGTGAGCCCGTGCTCCTGCCTCCACCTCGGCCCTTGCCCAGGGTGGGGTGCAGCCCCTCATCTCGACCAAAGCTGCTGCGTGGCAGCTCGGCCTCTCCACGCCCCCATCCTGCTGGCTGTGTGCTCTTCTTGGCCCACACCCCCAGCCCCCCCGGCCGTTCCCCAAGAGGATACAGAACATGATGCCAGCTGACTCTGCAACTGTGTGTGTCCCAGGTTCAGGCTCTCACAGAGCCCCACCCCCTGGGGTCTTACCGCACAGGGAATGTGTTTTAAAAATGAATTTGAAAACAAGCCAACAAACCCTGCACTCCAAAAAACCCAAAAAGACCCTGATTTTTTTGTGCCAAAAACTGTGGACATGCTATCTCAGCATCCTCAGGATCAAGCTGTTGCTTAATTTTAATTTATTGTTTTTTATTAACTAATCCAGATGAAAAGTGGTGGGGCTCTAGGGACGGCCTGGGCCCAGAGGTCCTGAAGGGCAGTTTCCTAGCAGCTCCAGGCTTGCTGTGGGAAGGGGCCGTGCCGTCATTCTCTCATCATTCCATGGGGCGTGTGCCTTGGCCAGCCCCGCATGGAGAGGCCAGGGCTGGGGATGGTCCACACTATCCTGCCCGCCTGCCCTGCCCGCCCTCCCACCCAGCTGTGTCTGTGTCTGAATTGTGGATCGTGCAGAAGAACCTGCAGCCATAGTTATTTGACTATATCTTGACTGAGGGCTTGCAGTGCAAAGCCAGGCCAGTGTCGTGCATTACTTACAATAAAAGGGATCATTTATACCGGTGGGGTCCTGTGGCCATGCTTTCGGTTGGGTGGGGGTGGAGGCAGGTGCTTGCGTGGGAGGGGCTCCTCAAGCAGAAGAGAACTTCGGTTGACCCCAAGCAACCCCAAGGGATCCTGGGTTGACTTGGCTCGGCACCACTGTTAGCCCAGAGGTGGCTCCCCCTTTCCTCCACTTGCCCCTCCAGGAGTTCCATTAGGGGGTGGTTCCATCAGGGCTGGTTCCATGGGGGCTGACTTACCAAGGTGGCACTGTGGCTCTCTTGACCCAAGTGTCACCAGCGGCTGGGTTCCTGGGACCTCCATGGCATCTAGTAGGGTCTTCCTGGCCCAGAAAGGGATTCCCTTTAGTCCCATCTTTGCAAGGCAGGGGTCAGGTGCCTCTGGGAGCCACCTCTCGGGTATCTCCCTCTGGTCGGTCTGCTGCTATTGCTCAACTCGGAGCAGGGAGGGTCTGTGTCCACATCTGAGACCTCGGGTGCAAGAAGTTGCGCCTGCCCTGAGAGGCTCTGAGCAGCTCTCCTCACACTCTCAGGACCCGGGCCTGGGGTGCCATCTCTGCTTCCCCAAGGAGCAGTGCCAACCTCAACATAGCACAGTGGCCCAGCTGCCTATCCTGGTCCATGGGTATGAGGTCACTTAGGAACTGAGGCAGTTGCATGGGGTGGTGGCAGCAAGTCCTCTGCTGCAAACTATCGTCCATCAGTGTGCCTGGGTTTTCAGAGGAGCAGATGAACTGAGCTTGAAAAGCAAGGGGAAGATGGCAACGAAGGGAAAGGGCACAGGGACAAAGGGTAGTCACTGAAACCTTCAGCAGTACTCGCTGGGTCTGCTGGTTCCCACCGTTCCTGACTGATTTCCAGGGCAAAGGGCTAGGAATGAGGGCAAGGGGGTTCTGGCGAGGGCTCAGCAGAAGGCTTCCGACTTTGACCCCTTGCGTTCCAGTGCAGCAACGCCAGGCGCCATCACCCACCAACAGCCAGCCCTCCTGTTCACATTGGGGTGTATGTGTGAGTCTGTGGGCCTGGGGTGTCTTAACCAACCCGAAACTGAGGGGGCAAAGTGGGGTTTCAGGTATAAAACCACTGCAGGTTTGCCGGCATGACATTTTGCCTGGGGAGAGGAGCAGCCCCTTCTCTCAAACCAGCCCCCTCCTCCCATCAAGGCCAGTGGTACTCCGGGTTGGCCCTGTCCCCGCTTCCCATCCCCATGGTGAGTCTACATCCTTCCTGCCACAAAGCCCCCCAGCAGTGACACAGTACAGAGTCATCAACTGTTGAAACATGTTTAAAATGGGGTTGATCACAACAGACAGACGGTCAGAAACAGGAGGGGAGGGGGCCGCGGCCAGCCCCGCTGCCAGTCTCTGGGGTGCTCAGCTTGGTGGGTGCTTTACTTCCGCTTCTCCACTGGACTCGGGTGGTAAGAGATGGTCCCAAGCCCCGCTGGGGCAGGCCCTGCCTTGCCTGGGCAGGGGGCAGGGTGGCTCCAGTTCCCCATCCCCTCCCGCACGGGCTGCAGTGGCATTCATGAGGCCCAACAGGTGGCGCCCTCCTTCCTCCCTGTCTCCATGGCTCAGGACCAGGCTAAGGGCAGAGGTAGATGGGGAGACTTGGGGGCTGGACATGGCCCGGCCTGGGTGGCAGTAAGGGAGCTTAGGACCCTGAGGAGGGCATCCTGACTCCTTGCTGGAGAAAAGGCACCTAGATAGGGAAGCTGGGGTGGAAAGCAGCAGGAAGCAGGGTGGTGAGCAAACCCCAATCCTGGTTCCAAACCCCCACCCCTGGGGGAGAAGGAAGGAATCCTGGAGCTGGGCCCTGCCCCGTGCCCCTCTGCCTGAGCAAGCCTCATCCCTCCCCGCCCTGCCCCTGTCCATGCCCTGACCCGGCCCCACCGAGGGAGTGGAAGGCCTCAAGCCGTCTTGGTGCCGGGGTCCACCTCCTTGTGGGCCCAGAGCTCCTTGTGCTGCTTGCGGCCGAACCCCTCATCGTAGTTGCCTTTGCTCTTAAACAGCTGCTGAAAGTGGGGTTTGCAGTAAAACTCCCCGTGCAGCGCTGCGTAGCTGCCCAGGCTGCAGAAGCAGAACACCTATGTCAGGGCCGGCGGGGCAGGGGCAGGGGCAGGGGCAGGCAAGGCAGGGGCGCACCTGAGTTTGGTGTGACAGTGCTTGCAGCAGAAGCAGGTGTTGTGGAAGATAAGCTTGTCTGCCACCAGCCGCTCCATGGGGTACACAGTCTTCTGGCAGGCAGCGCAGGTCTCCTTCACCTGGGCCCGCAAGCTGAAGGACTGTGTGGGGACACTCAGCCAGGGGCCTGCCCTGCGCCCGCCCCTCCTCCCGCGCCCGCCCTCAGGGCCCTACCTTGGAGCGCTGCACAGTGCTGCCGCCACCGCCACCTTTGGCTTCCTGAGGGAGAGGGGCAATCAGACCATGCCCCACCATGGCTGCGGTCACCGCCCCAGTTCCCAGTGGCACTCAAGAGGGGCAAAGGGTGCCAGGCAAACACACTGCTCCTCTTCCCTTCACCCCCAGGCCAGGCACCTGCCTAGGGGCCCCTCCCACTCGGCTGGTCACCTACATGAGATGGGGTGGCCTGGGCGGCTCCTGCAGCCTGGAACATGGCTCGTTGGAGGTGGTGGAGGCCCGAGTGGAGACGCGCCACCCGCTGGGTTCTGCAAAGGGAAGTCGGTCGGGAGGGCCCCACAGGCCCTTCCCCAGCCTGCAGGGGTGGGGAGTGTTTACAGCAGGGGGCTGGGGGGCTGCGGTTGGGACTTTCCCTAAGTCATTTCCTGTTGCTCTAGGTCTTGCCACTTCCGCCCCTCACACCCACCCCACGCTGCTCCCCCAAGGGGCAGGGGTCCTGAGTGGAACGGTGCATGGGGGAGGAACAAAGCACAGGGCCGAGGGGCTGGAGGGGCGGAGGACTCCCCAACAGCCGCCCTGTGCGCCCCGCGGGCAGGGACCCTCCCGGGGTGAGGGAAGGCCAGGAGAGGGCGGAGCCGCGATGAGAACCCGCTGCCCCGGCCTGACCCCGGCCCAGAGCTGCCCCGCGCCGAGGCCGCGGGCGCCCGGCTCGCTGCCCAGCCCCTGGACAGCGCCTGCCCGCCCGCCCCGCCCGCTCCGCCCCGCCCCGCCCGGCCGAGCTGCCGCCCGCGCCTCCTGCTCCTCGGGCCCCGGCCCCGCGCAGACCGGACCCCAGCCCCAGGACTCCGTGGGCCCAGCAAGCAGCACTCGGTTCCGCCCCCGCCGAGGCCTGCCCCGAAGGGCCTCCTCGAGCCGCTGGGCGCCAGGCGAGGGCTAAGCGCGGAGTCGCCGGGCATCGGGACCCCGCGGACGGCGGGGGAGGCGGTTCTCGTCCCCCCACCTCAGCGCCCTGTTCCGGAGCCGGTACAGGACCCCTCGGCCCGCCCGCGGGTCTCACCGGGCCCCGGCCTGGGCCGCGGGGCGGGGGTCGGTCTCCGGGGGGCGCCTCGGGTGCGAGGAGGGCGCGGGCGCAGGCAGACGCCGCTGCCAGTGGTCCCCGAGCGGCCGCCGCCGCCGCCTTATCGCGGCACCGCCCCCGCCGGCCCCCGCCCCGCGCCCGCCCATTGGCTCTGCCGCGCCCGGAGCCGCCTCCGGGCCCCGCTGCCACCGCCGACCCCCCTCTGCGCTTTGTCTTTCCCTCGTTAGCCGTCCCCGCCTTTGTCTGCCCCCCGCCCCGACTCCGCGCTCCGGGCCCCGCACCGCCCCCGGGCTCTGAGCTCGCAGGCCTCCGGGAATCGACCGCCCGTCTGCCCGCTCCCGACGGCGCCGGGACCCCGAGCGGCCGCGCGTGCGGAAGCGACAGTGTTGGGACAGGAGCCCGAGGGCTCCGCACCGCGCCCCTCGGGGCGGGGACAAGTTCAGGTTGAGGCGGCTGTAGTCGCAAGACACAGGGCACTCCCGCGCGGCCCCTGGGGAGCGGAAGGGGATAACCGGGCTGTGCCTGGGCCTTTTGCTGCCTCAGTTTCCTCCGATTGGCCCTCGTGCGCAGGTCCGGGCAGCCCCAGTCCCCGCCCGGCGCTGTGTGGGTCCTGCAGCCTCAGACACCCCGCTGGGGCGACCCCGAGGCAGGCCCGGGGTCGCCCGGTCTGGCTCCCGTGTCCCGCGGGCCGCGGAGTCCTCCCGCCGCCAGGGGCCGCCCCCGCGCGCCCGCACGGCCCCCGGAGGAAGATGGCAGCGGCGGCCGGGCACGCGATCCCGCCAAGCCGGGCCGCGAGGCTGCGATGAAGGGGACCGGGCACCCGCGTTCTTTTCCCTTCCGCCGCCCGCTGGCCGCGGAGCTGTCCAGCAACCGGGCTCCGGTGGGACTGCCGCCCTCAGCGCCTTCTGCGACCCTGTAGACAAGGGGGCCGCGGAAGCTGCTGCCCTTTCCCAGAGCCCCCACCCTCCCAACGTTTCCGTGGCCGGGTTTTGTGGGATCAGTAATCCCCCGACCCCTGGGGGCCCCAATCACCGAGGGCACGCCCTCAGGGAAGCGATTTTAGCACGAGGGAGCCCAGGCCTGGAGATTTGAAGTGACTTGTTGCAAATACCAAAGCTCCTGCAGCAGAGCTACTCCCTGCTCCTTTGTGCAGCCCCGTGCAAGACAGGGCTGAGGCACACGGGAGGAAGCAGGTGACGGTCACTCACTCGCGGAGCAGAGCCTCAGCAACACGACCTCTGCTGGGAGGCCCGGCCTTCCTGGGCACCAGGGACTGCTTGGCTCTGCCTGAAATCAAGCTGGAAGCTGTCGCGGAAAGCACAGCCCTAAACACAGCGTGTTCCCACACTGTGGCAGGAATAGAACTGGTGGCTCCAGAGCGCAGCCCACACACTCGTGAGGGAACAGAACAGCTCCCGCCTGCCGGCTGGCGGGGAACAGCAAAGCAGCTCCCCAGCCCCCAGCGGTTTCCTCCTCGGCTCCCCACGCCCACGGGCCGGCTTCACTTTTCTCCTCCAGCCTCCCGTGCTTGAGGAAGACTTGTGTTTTGCCTGCACTGTGGGCCTGAGACTCCCTGGTGGGGTGTGTCAGAACCCTCAAAAACTGGACGAATATCTTACTGGGGAAAGTTTCCACCGCTGTGAACAGATCTCTAAGGGGGCTGTTTAATGCAAGAGAGTGGAAGCCCTGGGGGGCACCGGGAGCAGGGCTGGCTGGGCAGGCCCCAAGGGCCCGTCGCCCTGCCCAGGATGGGTCTGTGGGCCCAGCTGCAGGCGGCCTGCGGAATCAGCACTTTGGGCCTGGAGAATGAGCTGACAGCAGGTGAAGAAGGTAGTCAGGAAGGAAAGAAAACTGACAGTGAGCCAGTGTTAAGGAAACGTGAGGAAAAAAAAACTGAACTAAGGACGGGGCTGGAAATAAGTGTGACCAGGCCTTGTCACTCACTTCGCATTGCTGGCCCCGCCCCCACCTCATGGTTAGTGTCATTCTCTTCACTTCAGCCCCTACCATTGCCCAAAGGAAGGGATTCTTTTTATTATTATTATTCTTTTTTAAACTGGTGTTAAAATTTCTGAGGAAAAGGAAAGTGAGGGTATTTGATGGTTCAGAGTAGCTTCAGCAGAGGAGGACACTGCCGTGCCTGAGCTAGAGGAGGGTCCCTCCGCGTGAGGGACTGGCAAGGGGGAAAGTGCCAGGCACGCTGCACACCCCAGAAGCACCACCGAGAGGAGACCCAGGTTGGAATCCCGCCCCCTGCTCAGGCGCTGGCCTGCAGCCAGCCAGGACGCTGGTTCTTAGGTTACTTGCTCTTTGGTGACTGGAACCCAAGGTAAGGAGACACCCCCAGTCAGGTCACAAGACAAACCCTTCCACCTCCTCTCCTGCCAGAAGTGAGCATCTTCTGCCTCTATTCCTAGTGGCTGGTCTCTAGCACCTGGACCTTCCAACCCCAAAGTGGTTTGATGGCCACAGGCTAATATTAAGTCTGGAAATTTTAGAGCATTAAGAGACAAATCTATTATGCGTTTTAAAGGAAACTGGTCTATGTAGTGAAAGAGGCCACTGCTGCGTTCCCATGAGCGCTCACGGGCCTGCTCTCGGACGGCAGAATGACTCTGCCTCTCGCCTGAGCCCACAGTCATCCTCGTCAGCACAGACACTAGGAAGCAGGGCTTGCAGTTCCTGCACCGATGCAAACACAACCATGCCATTCTCCAACGGATTCTCTAAAAATTTTAATTTGTTCTGACAATGAAACTAACACAGCATAAGGACTTAAGCCCTCAGGCTAGACAAAACATTATGGCCCCAGGGAAAGCGCCCAGGCCACTGGCTGGAGGCATTAAGATGGATTCTTGGTGGGAAAGGAATGAGCTACACAGATGAACCATGGGAAGGCTTTAGATGTCAGGGCCAAAGTGAGAAGCGGGGTAAGGGTGGACTTACCCCTCTTAAAAGGACAGAAATACTCTTCCCTTCAATTACTAGGGAGGGGGCTGAGGGGAAGGGAGGAAGGTCGACTATTACTTGCCCCTTCATGGACCTGTAGGAGCTGGGAGCATAGGAAAAGAATGGAATTGGGCTGGAAGGAGAGCAAGCGCTGGGAAGAGGAGGTGACGGTTCTCTGAGTCAATGAGTCAAACCCTGGGCTTGGACTTCAGCCCCCAGGGCCAGAGCAGCACCTCTTCCTTCTGAGGAGCTCGCCTGAGCTTGAGCTTGCAGGACTGAGTATACCAGCTTTCGGACTCCTCCTGATCCCTGGTTGTTGGGATTCCCGTGTGTCCCAAAAGCCTAGGAGCAGTGAAGAAAAGTCTCTCTAGGAATTTCTTTCCCAATCAGTCAGCAGCCAACTGTCCTGGCAGAATGTCCTTTCTACCCGGTCTGCACCCAGGAGGGGGGAATGTGGCCAGCCCTCGGGAAGGGCCTCCTGTAGGCCCCCACGTCCCAGGCTGGAGAATGTGCACAGTCTGCAGAGGCTCAGAACTCCCAGTCGTCCACCTCCAGCTCTTCCAGGTTTGAAACCAGGCCAAAGATCCCACTGTGATCCTGAGACTGGCTGCCCTCAAAATTGGTGATGGGGGTGACGGGACGAAGTAATTCAGGCAAAGCCTCGGAGGCACGTCGCTTGATCTGGGGAAGCAGAGAGTTTGGTAATGGATCCTGTTGCTCTGGGTCCCAGGACACCATGGGGCAAGGAACCACGGCCCAGTGACATATGGGCTGTCAGAGCCAACGGACTCCAGGAGCTCTTTCCTCTCGTTGAGGGGCTTCAGAAATATGGCGATTTCTCTAATTCAAAGGGAGGAGGAGGAGAGTGCCTGAGGACCCCAAAGCTAAGGGGGTGGTGGGTAGTTAGAACCAAAGGCAAGAAAAAGCAGAAAGCCGAGGGCAAGTGCTACTGTACCTGCTTGAAGAAAGAGTGGTTCAGGAGGGTGCTGGCACTTGGCCTGGAGAGAAAGGGGGTAGAGACCAGCATCAGCGCTGTGCCCCTGCGTTCCCAAGTCTCGCCTGCTTACACCGTCTCCTCAAGGGCCCGCTGTTTCTCCCCTCAGCTCGCCAGGGAACCACGGCCACAGTGCCCGGGCTGGCTTCTTAGCAGACCCAGGTGCTGATCTCGCTTGCTGTGGGGCTCTAGATCCTTCTGGGAACCCAGACCCTTACAGAACCTTCAAGAGGTACATCCTTTCCAACCCTGGCCCTACCTCCAGCGCTCCCCCTGCCCTCCCCAAAGCCCAGCCCCAGGCCGGCAGGGATACCTGGTGTCTGGGTTGCGCTGAAGGCACTGCTCCACAAAATGGTGGAAGTGGGGGGAGAAGGTTCGGTGGTAGGGGTGGGAAGGCGAGTCGCCGTTGGAGGGCCGGGGGTTGCCGGTGGTCAGGTTCTCACTCAGGCCGGGGTTGGCCGTGGAGCGCGAGCGGCTCATGGTCAGCTCCTCAGTGGGGATGGTGCTGGTGTCCAACAGGCAGGGCACCGTGCCGTTCAGTTTCTCTAGCAGCATCTGGGGAGGACAGAGCCGGGCCTGGGCTGGAAAGGGCCCCTAGAAGGCCTAGAGAGTCTCATCACAAATATACTTTCCACAGTATACAAATGTGCTCTTTTGGGAGTGGAGCAAAGACGGAAGTGGAATAAGTCTAACTTTTCCAAAGGAATGCTGTCACGGGGGTGGCTCGGCCGCCATGAGGAGGAGGCGGGGATTGCACAGAAGAGCCCCTTTCACATGGCTGGAAGGAAGGGCTTGCACTTTCCACTCCCCTCGTATAAGGCATCAAATTCCTTTCACTGTCGAGCCCTGGCCCTGGCACTCCAGCCTGGGCATCAGAGACTCTATCTCTAAAAAAAATGAAATCGGCCGGGCGTGGTGGCTCACACCTGTAATCCTAGCACTCTGGGAGGCCGAGGCGGGCGGATTGTTTGAGCTCAGGAGTTTGAGACCAGCCTGAGCAAGAGCTCTCGCCCCTGTCTCTACTAAAACTAGAAAGAAATTAATCAGACAACTAAAAATATATAGAAAAAATTAGCCGGGCATGGTGGCGCATGCCTGTAGTCCCAGCTACTCGAGAGGCTGAGGCAGTAGGATCACTTGAGTCCAGGAGTGTGAGGT